TTTCAATCTTTTTGCATTTACATTATGCTACGTTGCATTTTCTGTAAGTCCAGACTTTCTGTAAATCCATTTCCCATATTTTCTGTAAATCCGGACTTGAAATGACACAGAGGACACAAAAATCTAGCTCTATCTCAGAAGACACCATTAATTGAAATCACTTGGAATTAACATTGCATACCAGCAAAAAAAAGAAACTGTAAAAATCCTGGTTTACTATTAAACTTTTGAACTCAGTCTGTTAAATTCCTTTGCAGATAAAGAGTTATTTTTGGCCAAGTGATGAATGTTTGCATTTCATCAGGATTAATGGATATAGGGAAATTATAGAAATAGAATCAGAATCATCTCATCAAGTATATCACTGGCACACCTGACACCTCATTATTTTACAGAAAGGGAAAACAGCTGCAAAGTTGTTTGAGGTAAACGTAGAAGTCTACTGTAAAAAAATTATTCTTAAATTATACTACTTACTCTGCTTCTGCATGGCAATGTTTCCCTGCCGATTGCTTTCTTGATCTGAGGCAAAACCTGTAGAAGGGTATGTCCTAAGACATAGACGAAACCACAGAGAGAAAAACCTCTCTGGAATTCAATTTATATCCCCTGCTTCACTCTACTGTGGATAAACGGAGCATCTGCAAACATGTAAACACTACTGTAAGCAGACAGTTTATGAGCCTGGACCATGTATCTTTCCCAGTGGAAGAGAATGGAGCTTGCATTCTGGTGCACACTATTTAGAAAGGGAAATTAAAACATTTTAATTGAAATTGAATTTTTAAACTCTGAAACACCAGACAGGGGTGTCACACTACAGGGAGCTGGGAATAAATTAAAGCAGCTTTGTGCTATGGTTTTGTAAATTTTGTTCTAGGGCTGACTTTGTGAGTTCTTTGCAGGGAAGAGGTTATCTGCAACAGACACAAGCTGTCCGAAATAGTAACGTGCACAAGACACCCAAACAGAGATTGCTATATTTAAAAAGAGTATGGAAATAAAAGGGCAAAGAGAGAAAGGTTATTACACGTATGAAGAGCTAACAATCTCTGTTCCTCAGGGGAATGTAAGTGACATATGTGCTACTCTCCTTATCTTGGTTAGCCAGAACCTCCCAAGTGCACGGACCTTCCCCTGTCCCTTCCACCAGCAGATACGCTGTCACACATTCGCGCTTTCCAGGGTACCACCATAAATCCCTTCTCATGAGATTCTTGTCTTCAAGTGTAAATCAGTGTGAATCAACTTTTCTCAAGCGTGAATCAACGCGAACCAGCAGGCCAGGGACTACATTTCACACCTGGAGCCTTCCCCATATTCAGCAAAAAAACCTCTAAAAACTTGGGCTTGAAGATTTTTCTTTGCATTTTTTTTTATGAGACATCTTCTCCAAGAAACCCAACCATCTCAGAACTCAGCACAGCCAGTAAAACAGTCAACTGCTTTTTTAAATAAAAGTCCACTGACATTTAAAGACAGAAATGGTGAAAGTATTCACAGGAGCTTTAAAGTTATTATTCCTTTATCCGACTTTATTCTATTTGACTTCCAAACTGCTTCCAATCAACTGGTTAGCATTCACTATGCAATTAGGTGCTACAGAATTATTTAAATGTATTATATCAAATTTAATGAGAGCAATGGCAGAGTCCTACAGCTACTTGGCAGAGTACCTTCATGCCCAGTGCCTTTAAGGAATCAAACACTCTAATATTTACTTCATTTACTTTAATTGAATATACCACTTTTTGCAGTGCAAACAATTGTATTCTTGAGCTAAAAAAATAATTAAATCTGTCCTTTACTTTCATATTCTCCCTAACATTTCCAAGGGACAAACCTTGCTTTTCGATATTTGCAGCTTCCATATATGTTATAAATGCATTTCCTCAAATGTGCTAGAGGAGGAATGCCCCCTACTTCCTCATTTACCAGAACTGATTAGGTAGCTAAGATAATGAAGCCACAGAGATACCAGTATAGATTAAACACAAAACTATCGCAGTGACTTTAAAAGTCACCTTAAATGTACAATGACATCTGAAAGTCACACAAAGTATTCTAAAACTCCAGGACAATGGCAAAACAGGAGGAATAATACTAACAAGTACATTTTCCATGAGATTTAATGCATAACACGTCTAAGCACTACCTTTTCCATTTTATACCTGAACAAATTAAGGCACTGCAAATCTCAACGACAGCAAGCAGCATGTAGTTCCTGACGCACATCATTTGCTGCAGCTGGTATAGCTTCTTCCTCCTTTGGAGAGGCAGTGCTATAAAAATAAGTTCTCAAAATGCGAGTCAACAGTATCCATTCTAAAACATAAAAGTGACATATAAAGGGGCAACACTGATTAAAGACTAATTCAAGCATTCATTTCTGTCTTAGTATACACAGAATTGACATTACTGTACCAAAAAGCCACTAATACAACAATTTCATTTCTGTTCCATTCAGGCAGCAAAAATAGCAAGGTGAAAAAACGCAGCCAGTATCTGCCAGACACTGACAGATGAAATGTATAGTGTTGGAGCCAGCCGTGGTGAAACACCTGCAGCAAGAGAGGAGCTACAGCCTCAGGTGTTCTGCAGAAAGTGCCCAGGAAGCCTGAGGGGGAGCCCCACACCAGGGGACACAGCTTTTTATGTCTCCTTGGCTCCCCATGAATGCCTAGCACCACCCTTACAGAAAACAGAGGGGACCACTTTGTACTTCAGAGCATAAATGATGTTACTAATGATGCTACAACTGTAGCTGGACACCTACTTATACTCCCAGAAATCTTACGACAAAAATAAATGCTCCTCTGATCAACGAATATCCTAAGCAGACCTTAACTTCTACCCAAGTTTAACTGTTTTATACAGTCAGCCTACAGATGCCAGACCTGATAGTCCTCAGTGATCCTTTATCAGCAGTGTAATGGGAAAGGTTAATTTAAAAAATTAACCGTATGCCTTTTTTTCCCTCCTGTTGCGTATTTTTTCTCCCTGGTTGTTAGTGGAACGGGATAAAGCCATAGTTCAAACACAGCTGGTCTCCATGCAGGCCACGGCCACCTGAAATCTGTGCAACACCCACCCCTCTTCATTGAGCTTGGCAACGCAGACAGTCATTGCACCCACACACTATGGAAGCAGCTTCTCCCCTACTCTCAGCCAAACTCGGGAACATTTAAACTACATGAAACATCAAACTGATGTCATTTCCCTTTCTGCTACTTCTCTGTTTTTTCTCAATGCACCAAGTCTCTTCCGCTCCCCCAGGCAGTCAGAAATGACAGATAAGGGAATGCAAAGAAATGGAGTGTGAATGTAAAAGGAAATATAATTGGTTCAAGACTCTCTACTGTCTTCAATTTTGTACAGTCATTTACAGCTGTCTAAAGTGTGTGAAACACTGGCACCCAAGTGAGTGAGTAGGCAATTAAGATTTTGTACTCTTTCACCATCACTCTGCACAGATGTAAACTATTGGATAGGGTATGAGACAGCAGCGACACACTGAGCGCTCTGCCCTGGAGATCGCACTGCTCTGCCGAGAAGGACACTGCTTCTCCCTGACATGTCTTCACAGCTCAGTCCTGGAAGATGCTGAACCCTCGGACCCCAATCCAGCAGAAGGGCTTAAGTGCCTACTTAACGTTGCAAACTCATGCATGTAAATACTTTAATTATTTGCAGCAGGGTATTTTGTAGGCAGGGAATGTAAGGCCCCAAAACCAGGCAAGCTCAGCCCAGTGTTACTCAAGAAGTTCAGCCAAACATTTTAGGTTTTGACCATAAAACCAGAAACCCTTTAAACAACAGTATGAGGCAAGCCAGCATGAAGTTCTGTATTAATAAAACTAAGAGCAAGTTAAGGTAAATTGAGAGTTATTTTAGAAACTAAAATTGCCTGCAACGCCTAATGCCTACGTGTATTTGCTAATGAAATGGACAACATTTTCCCTAGGTCACAGACTGAAGTTCAAGCCTGTCCATAATTGCTACCGATTGATTACCAGGCTGTAGCAAATTAAATGGTAGTTTTACTTTAGTTTTATAGATGTGCTCAGAACAGTTACAACCTTTCCTTCAAGCATCAGCATAAAGACAGGGGCTAGGATTGCTAAATGGAGCTTTAATTGAGCCTCAGACTTCAGTACAGGTCACTGTAAGAAGGGGTGGACTGGGGAATGTGACTAATGTAGAAAAATTGCATAGAACGGCTGCAACAACACAGGTAGTTGCAAAGTTGTGGGTGGTCAGATAACATTATGTTTTAAATCATTAATTAAAAATCATAAACATAGATTTATAAATATTCACATTTAAATTTTCTTCTGGGCTATTTAGCAGCACATTCTATTTTTTTTTATATCAGATTAAAACATAAAAGAACAGTATTCTTGTTTGTTTATTTGTGTTCTGACTGATTATGTAAAACATTCTTAATACACTTTAGGGACTGAACAAAACAGGAGAGTCATCTTTTTATTTAAGGAGTTTGCACTGACTGAAAAATTAAAAGAACTTGCATTGTTTAGAGGAAATAAGGGCCTTAAGTCTACACATAAATTTATGTATGCATCAGTGTGGTAGTTCTCAAACTAACTGCATTAACTGTAACTGTCTAAACAGAAAATATGCCTTTTCTAAGCAAACATTTCTTCTGTCTTAATTTAATCTCATAAATTCTTAAAGGGTACCAACAGGACCATCCTCACAACTGTCAGACATTGGGTTTGTTTCTTTGCCTCTCAGGACAATACAACCCAAAATACACAGCATATTCTAAGTCATTATTCTCCAAGTCATTTGCCAAACTACAGATGAATTGTAAACATGAAGAACAAGTTAAGCCTATTCAAGCCCACAAAAAAAAAAAATTAAAAAAAAATAAATCAAGTCTTTCACAGTAAACTCTGCTATAATTTCCTGATGTAGGTCAAAACTCAGCAGGAAATCACATTGTCTATTTTTATCCCAGTTTACTGCAAGTGCTTTACCTTTCTGTTTTCTTGATAAGCACAGCCCTGAAGATTTGTTCCTGGGGAGATTTCTCTTTTTCATCAGTTGGTTGCACGAAAGGGTGGACAGCAGCCAAGACGAAGCCCTGCTGGTACAATTCTTGCAGCTGAGCTGGAAGATCACGCAAGGAGGAGAGCTTGATTGCAGATGATCCTGGCAGCTCAGCTGGAAACAAAAAGAAATTGGTCAATAATCCTACACTGGACTATCATGTTTTTTAAAATCCTTGGTCAATAATCCTACACTGGACTATCATGGCTAATAATCTAATCTAGGCTCTTCCGAGTCAAGCAAGCTTCCCGGTGATCTGCAATATTAACACAAAAATTGACCTTTCCTGAAGGCCGTTTTATATTTCAGATTTTAACCAGGCTGTCTTGGAGAAGGACTTGTATCACACAAGAAACCAGTGCAATTAAACAAGAAGTCATACACATTAAAATGCCAAATTCACTACACAGTCTGGGAGAGGCAAAGTGGAGGATTTAATAAAAACAAGGCAGTCAGTCATAAGTCATTCTAAGGTTTAGCAGTTGTTACAGCATTGCAAGCTGAAGAGAGCAAGCCATGAGTCAAAGATATAAAACAAGAGAAAAAAGATAGATAATAATGGTAAAATACATCAAATTCAAAAGCATTGAACAGAAAGCATTCATCTACACAAAAGCTGCATTATCAGACTAAGAGATGACTGATGCAAAATGCTGTTGAGATCAACTATCTACCAAGGTGTCTGAAGTACTTTGTAGATCTATTGGTATCAAGAACACTAGGAGCAATGCATGCCCATAGTGATGAGAAACCTTCTAGAACAGACACTAAACTTTATACCTCAGGGTTTAAGCAAACCTATACATACAGGAGATGATTCCTATACATATTAGAGATAAGGATTAGACCTAGTGCATGAAAATAATCCATCCCCAATCTGTTTACTGGGGGGTTTTATGCCTTCTTGTGAGGCATCTGATGCTGACTCCAGTCAGACACTTGACATACACACAGATACTGCAGCCAGTAAAGCAATTGCCCTCATTTCCTTGGAGTCTTGTGGGCTCCAAAAGAAAATCCTATAAGTCACCTAAAATAACCTTCCATTCTCTTCCTCTCTACATCAGTAATTCTTCACATGTTTTTCATATTTTATGTGAAAAGACATCTTTCTTTCCTGACCTTTGCCTCCTCATTTCCATCTCCCTTGGGGGACATTTATTATTTCCTCCCTAACCACGCCAGAGCATACAGGGTGGTGAGGTGCTGGATGGCTTCCCCTCCCACTGAAACCAATAGGTAGGGGATGTTGCAATAAACACGACAAAGGTTCCCAGCACCTTGCAGCCCTTCGTTAAAAAAAGGGCTGGAGAACGGTGTGTATAAAAGACACCAGCTATGCAAAATAAGGTTTCATTGTACTCCTTTTTTTCATCAAACTGTGTGGCTACCCTTTATGAATAATGAAAGAGGTTATCAAAAAACTAATAAATATTCAAAACCAGTAATACAGATGAATAATTTAAATAATAATAGAATAGCTGTGCTTGGTATGCTTCTGCTTCATATAAGACCATGTTCCAGAAGAGGATAATGGAACTTTTTGACCAAGAACTATAAGATGCAGAATTTTTATTGTTTTTGCAAATAAAATGAGAAATCCAAGCAACGTGTACATTGACAGACAATAGGCCTCTACCTTCTACAACAGCATACAAATCACTTCAGAATCATAGAAAGAGATGGCCCAATGAATAATGCATAATAAATAATAAAACTGACTGTTACTTACTGGACCCTACTAGGGCTCAAAATGGGGGAAGAAACCCACGTTAGAACTACTTTTTCCGTCTTGTGGCTCAGAGACTCCAAATATTTTAGACTACACAGCAAATATTTTAAATCATTAAAGGAATATGAAAGCCAGAATATCTTTGTAAACGAATCTTTGGTTTTACTTGAATACAATGGAATGACTAAACACTGTTCAGTAATGTTAATTCTGGTAATGGTGCTTCAATTTTTAACAATCATCTATGAAAACTGATGCTTGTCTTGCATATGAACCTAGTGTCTGGATTCTTCTGAGGATGCCTTGGTAAAGCTAGTAGAAAGTCCAGTCATTAACATGGTAGAATAATTGCTTCCTCCTAAAAGCTAAACACAAGAGGAAAGCGTAAAAATGCATGTAATTGGAGCCTTGGGATGTACATTTGATGATTTAAAAAGAAAGGCAACAGAAAACAGAGCTGGGAGGGATTATCCAGTTAGTCCATCCTATTACCTAGAGGCAGGATCAGTTCTAGTTAAGCTATTTCTCACAGTTTTTCTCATCTATTTTTAAAAACCTTTAGTAATCACGATTCCACAAGCCCCATAACTCATGTTTCAATACTTCTCTATTTCTACATTCAACACCTTTTCCGAGCACCTGGCCTAAATTTCCCTCTCTGAAATTCAAGACTGCTACTTCCTTACTACAATATTTCTTTTCTGCATCAGCATTTTCCAACTCCTACGACCCGTCAAAATTCAATCTTACCTTCTTTAGACTGTACAAACTCAGTCCTTTCAATGTTTCCTGTTCCTTGTGTTTTATCAACTTCTAAATAATTTTTGATGGTGCAATTATCTTCAATTGGTCCACATCCTTCTTCAAGTATAGTACCTAAGCCTCACCACAATGATCCAGCACAAATCTCAGCACCGATTTGTAGAATGGAAAAGCTCCTTCATGCTTATTATACTCTTTAAAGTTAGGTTGAAAAAGGACATCTCACCTTCCTAAAGATTTACATTCATCATTCAACAGGCTTCAAACTTAAATTACAAGATTTCAATTATTTCTTCAGCTAATTCTTCTAAATTCATACCTGTAGGTTCAACCTACTCAAAACCACCTAATTTATAAAACCAGTTGATCTACTATTTCCTTACTTTACCTTAGAAAAATGCTAACATTTTCAGAAAACCTTAGACAACTTCCAATAAAATCCATTAAAACTTTTGGTTTAATTGTTAAAGAGAATTCTAATCATGCCACTTTCAAAAGCAAAAGGAAAATCAAAATTGCGTGCAACAGGGCTTTGTGTAAGGTAAAAGAGCAAATGAAATACCATATAAAATTTTGTGTGTAGCTTATTGTAAGCCTCTATTTTGCCAAGAGATAAAGTTGAATTCTTTTAGCAGTCTCCATGTTGCTCTTGAAATGCAGTTAGCTCTAAGTCTGATATTCTGCACCTTGTTCCCTTATTTATTGTTGCATTCATAACCTGACTTCAAAAGATTCCTTCGTTTATTCTGCCTACATCTAAGACCAGTGTGTAAAAAAATTGTAAATGACAGATGTCGTGTTTTTCAATTTTGCTGAGGCTGACAGTGGAAACAGAAGTGCTGGCTGCTTTTGGAACTGACTATCAGACAAATTAGTTTGTTGCCTGACTGATAATTGAAGCTGAAAACACTTCCAGAAATTCTTGGATACATACAGAAAATTACAGCTTAGAAATCCTTCAAAAAGAAAAGAAAGTTTGTGTTACACAACTGATATCCCTAAGACGACTTTCCTGGGTCTAGGGACTTGTGCATTATTTGCTGCTAATGGAAAAACCTGACCAAACACTCACACTGTCCCCAACTTCCCACAAAAAAATCAATAAAAGGATTGTGTTGACATAAAAATCCACAGGTTGAGTCATGTATATTTGAAAGGAGTCATCTCTGCAGCTCCAAAAAGCAATTGATGGGAAACAGAAGGTGGTGGTGCAGTGTGCTACAGGGACCCTGAGGGACTGACAGCAGGCTGAGAAATACGGCTGGGGAGACAGGTATTGGGGAGAACTGGTTCCTCCTCTGCGTTGCCTCCCTGCCTCCCAGTGCATCATCCAGGGCTGCTACCACAGAGGCTGTTTGATAACAGCCACCGACCAGCTTCAAACTGAAGCATCTCTCGTGGCCTATGACAATTGTGCTATGTTCCACGCTAAGGAGGTAGATGTATCCTGATCATATATTAAGAGAAAATACAGTTACAGCAACTGTGGGCTAATTTTATTATGTTAAAACAATAGATTTGGGTACCTTTGTGATGCTATAACCCTACACTTTTAAGTAAAAAAGGTATATTATGCTTTACAAAATAAAGCATGGATCCATCTATGAGCTCGTGCTTAATAAAGACAATCATCAACTACAGTACATTTTTATATAATATATATATTGAACAGGATTAGATGCTTTTAACTCTATTCTATTTGATAAGTAGCAATTTTCCCTTCCTGCTAGTTACCTTTATGACAAAGCTAGACGAAACTTTATTGGTTTTTAATTTCTTTCTACTTGATTGATAGCTATGCTCCAGGAAAAATAAAATGTTAAATGCCAAAATGGCATTTATTAAATTTCTCTTTACTGAAATGGACAAAGAGTCAAATTTAGGTCAGTTTCTCAATGCTTATCCTTAATACTTTATTTAAAAGTACGAGCATACAGTTCTACTCTAAATTTCTATTATTCTGTATTAGGTGTTTATTTAGTTTGCTTACTCCAAGAAAACAAATTAAATGCTGGGATTTGTTGGACGACATTTTTTAACATATTTTCCTTATTAAGCTTTTATGCCCTTATTCCAGTCACAGCTGTTGAAGACCAGCGGAGCCCTTAATGACAGTTCGTATTACATATGAAAATGTTCCACAAAAATACTGGACTCCTTTTAGCTAGTTTCCGTTTCCTTTTTGAAGTTTTCACATTCATCTGTGTTTTCAAAGTAATGATCCTCAATTAAGTAACCTTTTTTCCTTTGCATTAAAACAACCAAAGACCAAATTGGTGTATACATAGATCATACACACGCTCTGTCTTTACCAGGTACAGAAGAAAGCACTGTGCACCAATACATGCCCAAAACGAGGTGCATAATGGGGTATGAAAAAAGAAAAAAGAAGACCAGCAAACTCGCTGGACCCAGACTATTAATCAATGCAGCAACTCGGTCCCCCGGCAGCCGCAGGCACAATACTCCTATTCGATCAGGATTAGCACACACCAGCAGGCTCAGACCCTTTAATAAATACAGTTGTAATCGTTTTCTTTTTCAATGCACAGCATGAGGATGTTCCCAAGCCCGTGGTCGTTCCTGTGAGCCATTCACATTGGAGGCACCCAGAGCCAGC